TAAAACTTTACTCACAGGGGATATCAAAGTGATTGTCTGATGATTTCCACATTCCATTGGAATAGCTATGGATAGCAATGCGAAAACTGGGAATTCCAGAACACTTAATTGTGTTCCTGTGGGACATTACATAGACCAAGAGGCAGTTGTTAAAACAGGACAAGGGGATACTGCATGGTAAAATCAAGAAAGGTATGATTCCTCTCATCATACTTATTCAGAAGTGCCAATATGCTTGCTGAAAGTGAAGAGAATTTGAAGCACTTACTGAGGATGATCAAAGATTAAAATAGCCTTAAGTATGGATTACACCTTAACATAAAGAGAAAACAAACAAACTCTCAACTCAACCGATAAGCAACAGCATGATAATGGAAAAATATTGAAGTTTTAAAGGATTTCATTTAGCTTGGGTCCACAACCAACACCATTGAAAGCAGCAGTCAAGAAATCAAACAATATATTGCATTGAGCAAGTCTGCTGCAAATGTCCTCTATAAAGTGTTAAAAAGTGAAAATGTCACTTTGAGAACTAAGATATACCTGACTCAAGTCATGGAACTTTTATTCACCTCATATACATGAGAAAGCTGGACAATGAATAAAGAAGAATCAAAACCTTTGAGTGGTGTTGGTGAAGAATGTCAGAAGAATGAACAAATCTGTTTTGGAAGAAGCACAGACAGAATGCTCCTTAGAAGTGAGGATGCTAAAACGTGGTCTTTGGTGCTTTGGGCATGTGACCAGATGGGACTAGTCTTTAGAGAAGACACCATGCTTGATAAAGTAGAGGATCAATGAAAAAGATGACCCTGCAACAAGATAACACAGTGGCTGCAACAATGAATTCAAACATAGCAATGATTATGAAGTTGGCACAGGACCGGGTAATGTTTCTTTCTGTTGTACATAAGGTTGATTTTAGTGCACTTATTGCAGCATTTAAGCTGTGGGTTTCAAAATATCATTTTTGGTTGTTGTTGTTGTTAAGTGCTGGGGAGTTGGTTCCAACTCATAGTGACTTTGTATAGGGTTATCTGGTATGGCGCTGTGGGTTAATGCACCAGACTGCCAAGCCGTTTAAACTGCAAGGTCGGTGGTTCAAGCTTACCAGCTGCTCCTCGGAAACCCTATACAGGGCTGTTATGGGTCAGAACCGACTCAACTGCACTTAACAACAACAATAGGGTTTCTGAGGAGTGGCTGGTGAGTTTGATCCACCAACCTTGTAGTTCAAACTGACCTTGAGGTTGAGTGCTTATCCTATGGCACCACACTAAGACTCCATCCTTTTTGGTAAGAATTTGAATTTTGGGCTAATAGATGTTTTTTTTTTTTTAATTCTCTTTTGTTGAAACAACATGGGGTAAGCTAGTATATGAAATCAGTTTGTATGACAATTAAATAAAATGTCTTTCTTTGGGTGGAATGAATATAGAAGAAGAGCAGGTCACAGACCCAAGTGTGAGAGTTATAGAAGAATCACCAAAACGTAGGTTTTACTTGTTCCCTGGTAGGAGCCCTGGTGTTATAGTGATTAAGTGGTTGACTGCTAACAAAAATGTTGTGGTTTGAATCCACTAGTACTAGTCACTTTCTGGGAGAAAGGCGTGACAGTTGATTTCTGTAAAGAGTTACAGCCTTGGAAACCACATGGTGCAGTTCTACTTGTCCTATAAGGTTGCTATGAGTCAGAAGCAACATGATGACAATGCATTTGCTTTTAGATGGTTGCTAATGGGCCTTGGTTCCTGTTGAGAAATCTGACTAGAAGGATGACACTTGCTTTGAGTTTAACATTCCTTAGAAAACCAAGAAAGACATACTGGTGGCACAATGGTTGAGTGCTGAGTTGCTAAACAAAAGGCTGGCAGTTTAAATCCACTGAGTGGTTCTACTGGGCATAGGCCCGACCATCTGCCTCTGTACAGATTACAACCTAGAGAAACCTGTGTGGCACTTCTATTCTGCCACATGGAATCACTATGAGTTGAATATCCACTTGGTAGCACCTAACAACAACAGAAAACTGACAAGAAAAATATACTTATCATGTGGCCAATTGTTTAACCCAATGACACAACATAATGCCAAAGAAGCTGTAATCACTGGATTGTTTCAAGTATCTATGAGTCATTTAGTTTTGTTTAACGAGAGTCCTCTCATGATGCTGTAGGATAAGCACTGGACTCACGAGCTACTCCTTGGAAATAATATACAGGGTAGCTATGGGTCAGAACTGACCTGGCAGCACTTACCAACAATTACAGGCCAAAATTTTCATGCTATCTTGCACAGTGTATTTTTTTTTTTTTTTTAATAAAGAAGACTAGATAATCAAGGGTAGAGGTTTCTGTGATAACTTGACACATCTCAACAAAAGACAATGACAAAAGAACAAAAGGAAGGCCATCAGTGTTCTGCCCGTTTCAACAGTGTTATGTTTCCACTTGTGGCAACAATAGATATTTGGTTCCTTCTTAAAATAAGCCGTATTTCTTATCTGAAGACTTTGGAGTCTGATGTGTTTTGCAATTATTTTTTCAGATTTTAGAAATGTAATGAAATGCATAGACTTTTGTATATTTTATGATATCCTCAGGAGGATCAAGGTAATCACCTTGTAATAAACTACAATATATCTGCAGAAAAACATAAGTGGTCTTATTAAGTTGTTGTTACGTGCCATTGAGTTGGTTCCAATGCATAGTGACCCTGTATAGGAGGTGAGTTTGAACTGCCAACCTTGTGGTTCAAACTGACTTTGCAGTCCGGTGCTTATCCTACAGTGCCACATAAGTAGAATAAATAAATACTATAAGTAAACCCGGAGTCCTGGTGTGGTGCTGTACAAGGTTGGCGATTCATATCCACCAGTCGCTCCTCAGAAACACTCCATAGGGTTGCTATGAGTTGGAACAGATTAGAAGCACTTAACAACAACAACAATAAGTAGCCCCAAGCCTGTACAGATCAAGTTTTGCTGACAAATGAGTTATTCCAAACTTAAAAAAAAAGAAAACAAAGCTTTGAATTTTAGAGATTTTTTGATTTGGAATTTGAAATTCAAATCAAGTAAGACATTGTGGATTTATATCTGTTTGTAGGTTCAGAGCATTCAAGATTGCGTTTACATTTTCAATTCTTAGTATCTTCACTGGGTAACTTATCTCATACATTACTGGCCTAAAACATCTTCTTTTGTACTTTAAATAGTACATCTAATTTTTGTACTTTTTCATTTGTTATCATACTGCTGGTAACTCAGTGATTTTATTTTTTCTGGTATGGTTAGTTTATTAAGGCTCAGTTCCTGCATTTACACAATTGTTCTTGACATTGTGCTTGGCGCTTAGAAAGTGCTTGCTTGCATCAATCAACAAGCTTCCTTTAATTGTAAGAAAGAGAAACAGATTCTGACTTAAACAAAAAGGGAACTTATTGGAAGGAGATGGAATTAAAGGAGTAGCTGAAGAATCAGGCCCGGAACCAGCAGGCAACAGAGCAACTTTTGGACTGAAGTTGGAGATATTTAATCAGGACTTCTCACCTCTGCTAGTTTACATTCCGAGTTACTCTGTTGGCGATACCAAGCCTCAGGCAACTCTGAGTGGCTGAGAGAGGTACCAGTGCCCACTCTTGCCTAAGTGACAGCTAAAACATTTTGATTGACACTTTCATCAAGCCTGAGAAAAAGGTAGGGGTGGAGAGAATCATTCCAAAACTGGAAATGGGACTGCTTTTACTCCAAGAATGCAAATGGATTCTAATGACAGAACAAAACAAAATAAACACACCTAATAGAAATTTTCTTGGCTAGTCATAAGGTTTTCAGTGACTAAATATCTGGGAAGTAGTTCGTCACTCCTTCTTCCTAGACTGTCTTTGTCTGGAGGCTCATCTGAAACCTGTCCACCATGGGTGACCCTGCTGGTATTTAAATACTGAGTTATGATGTTGGAAGAGAATATTGAAAGTGCCATGGGCTGCCAAAAAACCCCCAACAGATCTGTGTTGGAAGAAGTGCAGCCAGAGTGCTCCTTGGAGGCCAAGATGGCCAAACTTCATCTCTCATACTTCAGAAATATTGTCAGGAGGGACCATATGGAGAAGGATATCATGTTTGGTAGGATGGAGAGTCAGAGAAAAAGAGGAAGACCCCCAATGTGATGGATTGGCCAAGTGGCAGCATCGATGGACTCAAGCGTGGTAACAGGAGTGAGGTTGGCCCAGGATCAGGCAGTATTTCGTGCTGCTGTGCATAAGGTTGCTATGAGTCGGTACCAACTCGATGGCACCTAACAACAACAACAACAACAACAGAAATGTATAGATTTCAATAAACACTTTCAGAATATTATTTTACATCCTGGGCTTTTTGTTGTTGTTGTTAGTTACCATCCAGTTGATTCTGACTCATATCACCAGAACTTTCTTCTGAGGTTTGAAAAGCCAAACTTTTGGTTAGTAGTCCAGTGCTTAACAATTTTTCCCTTAGATTTTCAGAGGTATGCAGTCCTATTGTTTGTCTTTCTCATCCCTTGAACAGGTTCACTTCTTTCCTCTAGACTGAAACGAACATCTTTGAGCACAAGGGCTGGAGCTGTTTGCCATGAGATTGCGTTCTGTCTTGATAAAATGAATGAGCTATTTTCAGAGTGGTCATTTAACAAGGAGTATTTCTTACCAAGGTAACACTGACTGGGGAAACTTCACAGCAGAAACCAGTTTAACAATAAGCAATGCAAACACTTCATCTAAAATCTACATTAAAATAACAAGCATATATCATATGGATCAAGACCCAAGGAAATGAAGACGGCAAGTGAATATGGTCTTCACTCCTTCATGAACTGCTTAAACTTTTAATGAGAATATTATGAAACACCTTAACCTCCATGTTTCAAGTGGTTTTTCAAATTGCAAGGCGTGTTTACAGGCTGATGCTGCCGTGTGCACACACTCTTCAGTTTGAATGGTTGATAATAAACATTTCTTACCTGATATTCCTATTCTGTGAACGGAAATAGTTCTGAATCAATTAAAAAAAGTTTGAACTTCCATTATAGGTCAGCACTGGATTTGATTTTCCAGGTTCATTTGCTATTTGCCTTCTGTACAATTCATAATACAAAACTTTTCCACTTGGCTGAAGTGGCCCTGCCCACAAGAGGGAAACAGTGGGCTGCACTCCTCCTGAAGCCATCTGTGCCTGTAGATGGGGAGGAGGTTGCATCAGAGGTGGAATTTCAGGGGTCTCTATGAATGTCCAGTCACTAGCTGCACATCCCAGCATGGTGTATGCTTGAATGCGAACTTCATACCTTTAAAACACAAGACAGAAATTCATGATTATCAGCAGAATAGATTTTTATGGGAAGAGTCTTTAAAGGCAAGTGCTTTAAGAATAAAAGAGAAATAATTTTAAATAAGTTTATTCATATATTGTTGTTGTTAAGTGAAGTTGAGTTGACTGTGATTCTCAGTGACCCTGTATAGACTCGTGGGATTGACCCTCAAACCTTGTGGTTAGATGTCCAGTACTTATCCTGTAGCACACCACACCAGGGCTCTCTCTCTCTATGTGTGTGTATGTATATATATATATATATATATATATATATATATATATATATGCATACATAGATTGTTAACCACAAGGTCAGTGGGTTTGAGCCCACTAGTTGCTCTGTGGGAGAAAGATGAGGCTTTTTGCTCCAACAAAGATTTATAAGCCTTAAAAACTCTATACGGGGTCATGATGAGTCAGAACCAACTCAATGGCACTTAACAACACACACACACATAATCAGTTGCTGTTGAGTCGATTACAACTCATGCCAGCCCTAGGCGTATCACATTGAAACTGTGCTCCATAGGCACTTCAATGGCTACTTTTTTTGGAAAGTAGATCTCCATGTTTTTCTTCCCACATACCTCAGGGTGGATTCGAACCTTCAACTTTTTGGCTAGCAGCTGAGTACATTAATGGTTTGCATTACTCGGGGCTCTTTTCTTACATATTTCTGACCCTTTTAAAGAATAACAAAATCCTATTTCCATGAAAATCTTATATTTTAAATGTTTGTTGTTTTCCAAACTAAAGTGTTGGGCACAATTCTTCTCCTAAACAGGAATGTATGGAATTAATAGACTTTTGAGATTCTTTCAGTGTGAAGATTCTGGTACTCTGTAGAATTTCTTAACTTAGTGATAAAGAATGCAGGCCTTGGGGACAATGTACGATTGGTTTTTGGCTATGCTGTACTCTTCCTACCTCTCTGCTGTTGCTGTGTGCCAATGAGTCAGTTCTGACTCACAGAGACCCCTTATAGGAGCACAAGGCCTCATCTTTCCCTGCAGAGTGGATTAGAAATGATAGCAGCCCAATGCATACATACTCTCAGGACTCCTCTACCTGTTTGTAGTTAGAACTAAGTGATTCTTCACAAATACTTTCAGGTCATGAAGGAACATCATCCCCTCACCAGATACTTGACATTTTAAACAGGCCCTCTTATACCACACAAAGACCTTTTGGAGCCAGAGTTAACCCAATTACACTCTAGATTATCAATCATGGAGACACCTTATCACCATTCAGTTAAATTCAACTAATCAATTATGTTTGTCTCAGAGCTGGTCTGTTGCCACATGGAAAGGTCCATTTACATAGTAGGGACATGTCCTTTTCAAAAAAGGGGGGCTTTTGTTAGTAACAAGTCCCTGTGGCTGAAAAGGAGAGCTTTCTTCACTGTTTCCAAAGCCCTAGGGAGTCCTGGTGTGGCTCTGCAGGCTAATGCACTGGACTGCAAGGTCGGTTTGATCCATGAGGTCGGCTGTTCAAACTCACCAGCCACTCCTCAGAAACCCTATACAGGGTCACTGTGAGTTGGAACTGATTTGATGGCACTTAACAACAACAATGCCCTAGAGATTTTATGACAACTCTGATTTCTCCTCAAACTCTAGACTCTCCGTTTATCTCTTGTTTCTAGTCCCTTTTCCTTCATTTTATACCTTCCCCCTTACTCCCTGTGACGACTGCTTTCTGCTCTCTTGTTTTTTTCTGTTTGTGTTATCTATTTTCTTTCTCATGTACATCCCTCTGTAAAAGTGTTAAGCAAACTGTTGGCAGTTTGACCCTGTCAGCAGTTTCACAGGAGAAAGATGTGGCAGGCTGCATGTCAAGAATATAGTCTTGAAATCCCAGGCGACTTTTGGAATCTGTCCTGTGGGGCCACGATGAGTTGGAATCGACTCAACTGCACACAACTACATTCCTTTGTGAAGCATGCTGGTAGTGCAAGGGTTAAGTGCTGGACTTTTAATCAAAACCAGCATCTCTGTAGGAGAAAGACCAAGGAATCTGCATCCACAAAGATCGTTGTTAAGTGCTGTTGAGTCGGTTCCAACTTATAGCGACCCTGTATAGGGTTTCCGAGGAGTGGCTAGAGAGTTTCAACTGCCAACTTTGTGGTTCAAACCGACCTTGAGATCCAGTGATTGATCCCACAGTGCTACACCAGGACTCAACAAAGGTTGTTGTTGTTGTTAAGTACCGTGGAATCGGTTCCGACTCCTAGAAAGATTGTTGTTGTTGTGAAATGCCGTCGAGTAGATTCTGACCCATAGTGACCCTGTATAGGGTTTCTGAGGAGCAGCTGGTGAGCTTGAACCGCTGACCTTGCAGTTCAAACGGCTTTGCAGTCTGGTGCATTAACCCACAGAGCTACACCAGGACTCCATAGAAAGATTACGTACTAGAAAATCAGAAAACCTTATGGGGCAGTTTTATTGTGTCATCTGGGAGTCATTATGAGAAGAAATTGATGCCTTGATACCTAACAAAACAAGAACAATTCTTTGTGAAGTTCTTCATTCCCCTCTTATGCCCCGTGCCCCCTTTCTTCTGCCCATCTTCTTTGGTCACCAATTTAATATCTTACCAAGCCGAGGCCCAGTAGCCTCTGAAGGGCTAACTCCTAATATGTGGCTAGCAGCTCACTAGTGAACAAATCAGTAGCTACACATGGCAGATCTATCTTCTAAGCCATCCTATGAAATCAATTTTGATTATCCAATAAGGATTATTAATTACCTAGATTTTTTGTGGTGATTTAAGAATTCTGGTTCAGATTCCTTTTGCTACAGATCTTATTCACAGGCTATTTCTTTCTATGGATCAATTGAGGTTGCCCAAGGAATATATGGACTTCTGGTGTACTGCTGTAGGATTAGCACTGGACTGCAAACTACAAGGTCAGCAGTTCAAACCTACCAGCTGCTCCTTGGAAACCCTACATAGGGTCACTATGAGTCAGAACTGACTTGATGACACTTTACAAAAACAACAATAAGGGATATATACTAATATGCAGTGTTTGTTAAATATTAATCGTTTGTTTTTTTTAAAAAAAGGACCATGAAACCGCATGATCTATGTTATGCATTGAATTGTGTCCCCGCAAAGACATGTTGATGTCCTAACATATTGTCACAGTGAATGTGGTCTTTTTTAAAATAGGATTTTAAAAGAGGTTGTCAGTGAACACAGCCTTAATCTTATCTTTGTGATGTCCTATAAAAGAGACTTTAAGTTTTAAGTGCTTTTGAATCAGTTTTGAATCATAGTAACCCTGTATAGGGTTTCCAAGGCTGCACATCTTTTGGAAGTAAAGAGCCTCAACTTTCTCCCATGGAGTGGCTGGTGTACTCTAACCACCAACTTTGTGGTTCGCAGTCCAGCGCTTATGGACTCCTGGTGTGACACTGCAGGATCAGCACTGGGTTGTGAACCACAAGTTTAGCAGTTCAACCCCACCAGCAGCTTCTTGGAAACCCTATATAGTGTCGGAAGCAACTCAATGATATTTAATAACAATAATAACGTAAATGAGATGAGACACAGAATGACAGAGGGGAAATAGCATGTGACCATAAAGTTATGCTATAACAATAAACCAAGGAAACCTGGTGTACCTGAAACTGAGAGGTGGTTTGATTATGTGTCTTTGAGTCGATTCTGACACATAGCAACCCTGCATAGAGTTTCCGAGGCTATAAATCTCTATGGGAGCAGAAAGCCTCATCCTTCTCCAAAAGAACAACTGGTAGTTTCTAGCTGCTGACCTTGAGGTTAGCAACATGACTCATAACCATTACGCTATCAGAGCTTATTGAAGCTGAGAGAGAAACACAAAAACAATCTACCCCTAGATTCTTTGGAGAGAACTTGACCCTACCACACCTGAATTTAGACTTTTAGCCTCCAGTAAGGAGCTCTGGTAGCGTAGTGGTTACGAATCGGGCTGCGAACCACAAGGTCAGCAATTAGAAACTACCAACTGTTCCAAGGGAGAAAGATGACTCTTTCTGCTCCTGTAAAGATTTACAGCCTCGGAAACCCTGTACAGGGTCGCTATGAGTCAGAACCAACTCCATGGCACATAATAACAACAATAGAATCCTAGTGTGGCGCTGTAGGATAATCACTGGACTCCTAACCACAAGGTTGATGATTCAAACTTACCAGCTGTTCTTCAGAAACCCTATATAGGGTCACTATGAGTTAAAACAGACTCAGTGACACTTAATAACAACAGCCTCGAATAAATTTTTGTTCTTTATAAATAGCCAGTTCATTGTATTTCAATATGGCAGTATGAGGTAGCAAATACAAATGCCAATAACCTATACAAGTGATTTGGGGCTTATATTCTATTTGCATCATCAATGCTACCTCTGTCTCTAATTGGAATGACATCACTGATAGCCTTAAATATCATTGCTAGGTTGATCAGATAAGCATTTACTTTTTTCTTTTTCAGCCTGGAAAAAATGTTCTTCTCATATCTGGAAAACCACTTGTATTCTCTAGAATTCTTTGAAAATATGATTTTAAAAACTTGCAGTCAGCTGTCAGGTACAGGAACCACTATAAAATGTACAGTTCTGCATCCAAGGTAGGTCATTTTTATGCATTAAAGCAGAACAAGATAAAAGCCAACTCACACACATAGTATGCGGATTAGCTGTGGAGAATACCTGTGGAAGTTTTAATTACTGTTTAATATTTAATATGACCCTAAATAATTATCATGAGCAGATGCAGAAGACCATGAATGTTTCATTTCACCAGCACTATTCAAAACTACCAGCAGTTTCATGGGAAAAAGATAATGTTTTCTGCTCCCACAAAGATTTACAGCCTCAGAGACCCTACACAGAGTCTTATGATTTGGAACCGACTCCACAACACATGACCACCACCATGGCACTGTAGGATAAGCACCCGACCCCAAGGTTAGTTTGAACTGCAAGTCAGTGTTTTAAACTCACCAGCCGCTCATTGGAAACTATGGGTTGGAACCAACTCCACAGCACTTAACAACAACATATATTAGAGAGATCTAATCTACATATCTAAGTAGCTCTGGTAACATAGTGGTTACAAATCGGGCTGCTAATCTCACGGTCAGCAGTTTGAAACTACCAGCTGTTCCGTGGGAGGAAGATGATGCTTTTTGTTCCCATACGGATTTACAGCCTCGGAAACCCTGTACAGGGTCGCTATAAGTCGGAACCGACTCCATGGCACATAACAACAACAACAATCTACATATCTAATCTACAACATTTTTAAAGTGTTGAAGAGCAAAGATGTTAGCTTGAGGACTAAGGTGCATCTGACCCAAGCCATGGTATTTTCAATAACCTCATATACATGAGAAAGCTGGACAGTGAATAAGGAAGATCATAGAAGATTTGATGCATTTGACTTACAGTGTTGGAGGAGAATATTGAAAGTACCATGGACAGCCAAAAGTACCAATAGATCAGTTTTGGGAGAAGTGCAGCCAGCATGCTCCTTGGAGGCCAAGATGGCCAAACTTCGTCTCTCATACTTCAGACATATTGTCAGGAGGGACTAGTCACTGGAGAAGGATATCATGTTTGGTAGGGTGGAGGGTCAGAGAAAAAGAGAAAGACCCCCAGTGAGATGGAAAAGGCAAAATGGCAGCATCATTGGGCTCAAGCATGGAAACAATTGTGAGGTTGGCCCTGGACCAGGAAGTGTTGTGTTCTGTTGTGCATAGGGTTGCTATGAGTTGGTACCAACTCGATGGCACCTAACAATAACAACAACAATCTACATATCAAGGAGCTCTGATAGTGTAGTGTTTACAAGTTGCGCTGCTAACCTCAAGGTCAGCAATTTGAAACTACCAGCAATTCCATGGGAGAAAAATGAGGTTTTCTGCTCCTGTAAACATTTACAGCCTCAGAAACCCTATGTAGGGTCTCTATGAGTCGGAACCGACTCCACAGCACATAAGCACCACCGATCTACATGTCTGCAGATTACAATAACAGCTGAGTTTTACCAAAGTTGGAAATCAACACAACTTCACCCTTTAAATTTTTAAGTGGTTCTGTACATTTTACTAAAATTTAAACATAAGCCTTTTATTACTATTCTTTCTGGGGATATAAGTAACTTAAAATGTGATGAGGAATAGGGCAAAATAATCCTTTTAAACCAGGGGTGGGCAAGCTTTTTTCTGCCAAGGGCTATTTGGATATTTATAACATTCATGGGGCATACAAAATTACCAACTTAAAAATTAGCCTGTTAAATTTGGTCAAACATTTAATTAACTCAACCCTACTGTGATGGCTGGTGTGGCACTGTGGCATAAAGCACTGGACCGAAAGATCAGTTTGAACCACAAGGTCAGTGGTTCAAACTCACCAGTTGCTACTTGGAAACTCTATTCAGGGTCGCTATGAGTTGAAACTGAAACAGACAGTGCTTAACAAAAACAACAACAACTATGGTGGCTGGAATCCTGGTGTGGCGCTGTGGCATAAAGCATTGGACTGCAAAATCAGTTTGAACTGCAAGTTTGGTGGTTCAAGCTCACCAGCTATGAGTTGGAACCAACTTATCGAAACTTAACAAGAACAGCGTGATAACTGGAACTGGGGTTGCCTTGGCAGGGCCAGACCAAATGATTTCACAGGCTTTATATGGCCTGCGGGCTGTATGTTCTCCACCCCTGCTTTAAACTATGGGAAGAGGTGTACTTACACAATTTTTTGTGTGGTCAGAAATACACTTTCATGCAAGCTGAAAGTCCAGAGGGGACCACTGAGAAAGCGTATCCTGAGAAACTCTTGAGATCAGAGAAGGGAAATTCTGAAGCAGGGGAACATATATATTCAGAGCAGCCATAGTATCCTTGGAAGAAGTGCTAGATATAATAAGAAAGGCTCTCTCTATGATATAGTTGGATTTGGTACAACTATGGTTGATAGCAGCTCTCACTGAAATTTATTGACTCACATTATTGAGACGAGATGTCTAAATTCCAGTGTGATGGGACCATGCTCTCTTCAAGGTTGTAGGGGAAGATCTTTTTTTGTGTCTCTAGCCCCAGGTTTCCTTAGCTGATAACTGCAGCATGACTTTGTTACATACTATTTCATTCTATCTTTCTGTGTCTTTTATAGGATATTACAAAGATTAGATTAGCATCATGTTTACTGATAACATCTTTTAAGATCCTATTTGAAAGTTGCTTTAAAATAACATTTTATGTTCTTCACTGCCTGGGTCAGATGATCTCTTTGGGACACAGAAAACTGTCCAGAGGCCTGCATGTTTCCAGAAGGGACTAGATGCAGGAAACTGGCACATGTCTGCACTGTGTGTTCTAGACATTATGGTGAAGTATAGCCATTTCTGAAAGACTGACTCTCAAAGTTGTCACCTACAAGAATCCTTCTCTTCAGAAAGTGTGTAAACTAGCTTTGCTGGATACGAATGGTCTTTATCTATCTACTGTTGATGATTAAGTGGATGGGGTTGGGGATGTCACCCCCACCTTGCTATTATAGTTATCATTAGAACTGTGTGCTCGTGTAATAGAAATGACAGTGGCTTGCTCTCAGCATTGGTTACCTACCTCTGAAATGGCTGCAGCTGGTTTATTACGAACAACCGGGTACCAAAAGTATCATGAGTTGTGTTTATGTGCATAATCTTTGCTTCTCTTTCAAAAGAGTTCATGGATGAAGAGAGTACAGTTAACAATACTGCCGTTTGTCTTCACTGGAGGGTCTCAATACACTAAAATCTCCTGAGGGTCCTAGAATTTTGGGGGTTCTATCCCTGAGGGTGCTGAGGGGTTGGTTCGATCTTTGACAAGTGGATTCAAAATACCACCTTGGCTGTTACTGGCAGTCACTGTGTAGCCATACTCCATACCTGGGTTGAGGGTAAAATCGTGATAGGGGATTTCTAGTCCAGTATATACAATAGCTCCATCCCTCCTAAGTTCATAACTTCTGATTAGACCATTTGGGTTTCTTGGAGGTTTCCAGGTGATTTTTATTGATTCTGAGCCTGTAACTTGCAATCTTGGAGCGCCCATGTTCTGTGGTGGGGCCTCCAATGTCCAGGCAGATACTGACACACTAACTGTGCAACCACCATTGGTGCAGGCCACTAGGGAGTAATTATATTGGGTATAAGGTTGCAGGTGAGAAACCAGCATGGAATGGCCTTGCTCAGCAAGGTAGTCCTTACCATCAGATCTAAGTAGATACTTTGTGATCTTTCCATTTTGATTTGATGGTGGTGACCAAGATACATTTATTTGAGTGGCACTGATGGTCTAAAGAGCTGGAGAGCTGAGCCCTCCTGGAGCAGCCTCAGGAGTTTTGATGTTGGGGGGTTTGCTGGTGGAGCAGCCTTCCCTTGTGCAGGCCATGACTGCGTAACTGTATGTGGAAAAAGGAAGCAGTTCTTCATCTGTATAATTGAAAGTCAGAGCATCAAAGCTGAAAGGGTAGAATATTCCATTCTTTTGAAGCCGATAGGACTGGATAATGCCATTAGGCTGTTCTGGTGGGGTCCAGGAAATTAGGAGTCGTTGGGGATGCGCAGACAAGTGGGATAGTTCAGGTAGAAAGATACCTTCTGGAAGTGCTTGTTTTGTCTTTGCGACACTCCATGAGCTACAGGTATGGCCTGCTGAATTCCAAGTGTCAATTTTATATTCATAGAGCATCCATGGCTGCAAACCTGTGTCATTGTACATAAAGGTGTTCCTTTCAGTATTATAGTCCGTGAAAACAATTTTCTCATCTCCCGGGATTGTATGGTTGCCCCCAGCTTTCCCTTCGAAGCATCTGTGAATCACTTCATAGTGAATTATCATTCCATTTGGGTTAACAGGTTCAAACCAACTCAGCTCAATGTTGGTGGACCCCAATGTCTGAATTGTGGGAACCAACTGAGAGCTGGGAGGGGCCTCCTCTGTCCACAGAGACTGGGGCTCTGAGTGTGCACAGCCCACCCTGGTGCAGGCCTCCAAGGTCAGTGTGTAGAGAGTGAAAGGGGTCAGATGACGCTAGAAAAAATGACGGTTCAAGCAAGTATACTCCAGGGTACCATCATTGAAGATGTTGTAAGTCTGAAAGAAGAGAAGGAAAAGGAATCAATTTATAGCATATGCCTTCATGATGTAGCTATTTTGTACATCTCTTAACCTTTTCTCTCTTTTCATTCCTTATCTTGGTGACCCTAATCTTGAAGAAGCATTCTGAGACTTATTGTTGAAATATGATTTTTTCCAGTTACCTGAAGTCTGCAGAAAGAGGACCACTGATTTTCTTCCTTCTCTTCCTCCCTCTCTCCTTCCTTTATCTCTTCTTTCTTTTCTCCTTTCCTCTCTCCTCCTACTGGGTCTTTACTTTCTTCCTTCCTTTCTCCCCTTCCCACTTCCTCTTGTTTGGATAATACTTTAACATGTAAATCTAAGCATTATTGAGTCTGATTCCTGACTTAACCAGTATTCATGGGATTTCTTCTTTTTCAAAAACAAATGTTTTGCAGGTAGAAAATAATATTCAAATACCCTATTTGTGCTTATGATTTCACCCTAGGTAGGGTAAATAGTGGAGTCCTGGTGTGGCACTGTGGTTTAATGAGCCAGACTGCAAAGCCATTTGAAGTGCAAGGTCGGTGGTTCAGGCTCAACAGCTGCTCCTCGAAAACCTATACAGGGTCACTAAGAGTCAGAACCAACTCGACGGCACTTAACAACAACAACAACAAGCGTAAATAGGACTTGTCTACATTGCCCATGTTCCTCAGCATTAGCTAGGAAATGAGATTCTAATGTTTAATCTTTTATAACAAGGCTCAAAAGGTGTCTGTGAGTATGAATTGATGTTGCTGTTTTGTGCCTTCGAGTCAGTTCTGACTCGTAGAGACCACGTATATGGTTTCCAAGCAGGGACTGGTGAGTTTGAGCTGACAACTTTGTGGTAAGCAGTCCAGTGCTGATCCTATAGTGCCACACCAGGTCTCATAATTGCATATATGTACAACAAATACTTGTATGCATGCATATATGTGAGTATATCTATACATATAGTTGTTGTTGTTAAGTGCCGTGGAGTCAGTTCCGACTCATAGGGACTCTGTATACATTGCCTAGGAGAAGCTGGAGGGCTTGAATTGCCCATCTTGGGTTCAAAGTCCAGTTCTGATCCTACAGCACCATGCCAGGAGTCCATATATGCACTTATGGAGTCCTGATATGGTGCAGTAGGCTAAGCAGTTCAGTGGTTCAAACCCACCAGCCACTCCTCATAAATCTTATATTGGGTCACTATGATTAAGAACTGACTCAATGACATTTAAAACAATAACAAATATGTAATACTACATTATATGAGGAGTCCTGGTATGGTGCTGTAGGATCTGCATTGAACAGCTAACCAAAAGCTTGGTGGTTCAAACTCACTAGTTGCTCCTTGGAAACCCTATACAGAGTCCCTATGAGTCAGAACGGACTCAATGGCACTTAACAACAATATAATATTAATATAATATTTATTAGGCAAGTAAGAGTTTGGTAATATTTATAACCTAATTAAATGTATTAATATTTTACTTATAAAATAAATTTTATAGCTGTCATATGAATATATGATGTAAGCTCTGATTACTCAAGAGCAGGGACAAACAAAGCAAAACAAAATGACCTTGTTTTCTCTTGCAAGCCATGGAAGAACTGATTGCTCTTTGGGGGCAAAATATTCTTTTGTTCTGGTGAAAACAATCTTCTGACTCTCTGAACCACTGAAAGTTGATAGGAATGTCTTTGTTATTTATAGTGGGCCTGTTGCAACCTGTTGCAATACACTTGATAGATTATGCTAATGAGATGATTCAGGGTGGGACTGACCATGTCTGAAAGACCAACCATGTGTTTAAAGGGCAGGGATTTTCAGACTGACCTGAGGGAAGTGAACTATAGATTAAGTTCAGCCATGTGGGCAATGAATTCATCAATCCTGTTGTGATAGTTAATGTTATGCGTCAACTTGGTCTGACCATGGATCTCAGTATTCTGTATTATGGACATAAAGAAGAGTATTTCTGGAACACAGGAGATTCCTTAGGATTTCTTTTAGTAGTACCATACCCAGTCAATGGAAAACTACAGAAACTTAATAGTGATAAGAATAATAACAATTCAGACCCTTCAGAAATGAAGGTTTGGGTCACCTCACCAGGCAAAGAACTTGAGGTGCTTGCTGAGGATAAAAGGAACACTGCAGGAGTGGTGGAAGAAGGTTGTTCTAAATACCTGCAATTGCTTTTAGCATTTCTTCCTTGTTCTCTTATACATGGATGTCTGTGTATGTATGTATGTATGTATGTATGTATGTATGTATCTATCTATCTATCTATCTATCTATCTATCTATCTATCTATCATCTATCTATCTATCTATGTATCTGGCAGTTTGGTATTATATATGTTAGTTGTATCATGCTAGGTACAAGTATGATTTCATAGCTATCTTCATTTAGAGATTATATAGATTTAAGGAGATGTGTACAGTGAGAAGTTGACATGTGGTAGACTATGATGGTTAATGTTATGTGTGAACTTGTTTTGACCAAGATTTTCAACATTATGCAATTATCCTCTACTTTGTGATTTGATGTATGGGGAGTTTCTTTGGGGGTATGGCCGGTATTCAATTTATCTGGATGTCCTGCCAAAGCTCATTCTTTCTCACTCATGCATATGACTCATCATCCTCTGACCTTCAGTTCTTGAGGTGTAAGCTAGCAGCTTGCTGTTTAGCATGCTGATTTGCGGTTGTTCCGCCCTTGGAACCATGTGAGTTAGGAGAAGCCTCCAGTCTGAAGCATGACCCATGGCTTTGGGACTTGCCAGTCTCCATAAATGTGTGAGCTATTCTTTGAGATAAACCTTTATCTCTTTATATATTGGAGCCCTGCTGTTGTGCTGTAGGATAAGCACTGGACTGCTAAACACAAGGTTCAAACCCACCAGCTTGGAAACCATATACAGGTTTGCTAAGAGTCGAACCAACTTGGTGACAGTTAAGTGCTAGTAACTCAGTCCCAACTCACATCCACCCTTTATAGGTTTTCTGAGGAGAGGCTGGTGAGTACGGACCGCTGACCTTGTGTTTAGCAGTCCAGTGCTTATCCTATAGCACAACAGCAGGGCTCTAGGATTACCATTCTTCATCACTTCTGGAACATCCCACTTACTACTTTTCTTCCTACCTCCTTGGCTCCTCTGCTTCCTTTTTGAGTCTTCTTCATGTTGATCTCCAAACTTCAGCGAGCTCAGGGTTTTATCTTAGGTTCTTATCATCTTTATTTGCATTCTTTCCATAGCTATCTGTGCTTAAATATCCTCTAGCTCCATGGGCTTAAATATCACTTATATGCTAATGATTTCCAAATATATATCTCAGTGAAGACCTCCCAGCAGTTCTAGACTTATACCTCTAGTTGGTTACTTGCCAGCTCACACCGACTCATCTTCCAGTCTTCCTCTTCCAAGACAATGGGTCAAGGCCACAATTCAAAAGTCATCTTGGAACGCTCCGCTTCCTTCATGACTCACGTCCAGTCCATTAACATGTCTTGTCAGCTCTGCTCTACCTTCCCAATATATCTCCAGTTCATCCACATTTCTCTACCTTTACGACTTCTGCCTTAAATTCAAGCCACCATCAATTCTGCTCTGGATTTTTTCAGTTGCTTCCAAATTCTCTTGGTAACTGATAGCCTATTTTCTACATAATAGCCAGAGTGACTTTTAAAAATGTAAATTTGATTAAGTTATTTGCTTAAAGGCTTCAGTAAGTTTTCACTGCATTTAGAATAAATTTCAAGCTCCTTAACACATCCCACAAGGTGGGGTGCCATTTGCCACCTGTCAATCTACTCCAGGTTGTTCCAGTGCCATCTCTGTCTTCCTCCTAAGGCTTCACCCACACAGGCTTTCTTTCCTTTCCTTGAATATACCAAGTTCATTCCTGGCTTCAGGCCTTTAATTTGCTGCTCATTTTGTCTGGAACATTTTGCCCCTGTATCTCCACATGACTGACTCGACTCTGTCTTGTCGTTCCGGTCTCAGCTCAGATGTCAACTCAATTCAAATGATCATCCATTCTAAAATAGCCTGAGTCCAACATAATTGCATTACCTTGTTTAATTTTTCGTAGCATTCATCTGAAATTCTCTTGTTATTTATTTACTACCTTACTGTTTGCCTTTCTGTCCCCCTACCATTCCTATACTTCCACAAAGTCACTTATACATGCATGCAAACATGTAAGGTCTAAGAGACTAGAGATGTTTGTTGCCTGTATTGTTCACTCGTGAATCAGTACTTGACACTTAGAAGCTCAATAAATATTTAGTGAAATGTAAATGAAAGAAAAAGAATATATACTTCTACTGCCAATCATGCTGGGAAGAGGCAATCTCTGATATAGGAAAAACAAGAGGGAGGGCTGCTTTCATTGGTGTAAAGGGAGAAACTATTTTCTGATGAGGGCCTTAGGGTGATGGCTTGGATTTTAAAGTCATATATCCTAAAGCTCAAACCTCCTACCTCAGGGTTGGGGAAGTCTGGCCTGGAGGTAGAAGGGTGTAGAGAGACTAGCTTCTCTTCCACATAGCAGGCCTGGAGCTAGGCAGAGAGGCAGCCATTGCACTGAGTGATGAGGCAGTCTGCAGGGAGGCCCAGGAGGATGGTCCTGGGTCGGCTAGAGTTCTAAGTTACTGCCACATGTGGATCTCCTTCTGTCATCTCTCTCATGAAATCTTTGCTCAAAGTTCCACATTAGTCTTTCCTACAATATTTTGAATCAATGAAGGAGACTTAGCTACTTGGAGAAGCAGGGTTTTCGTTGGTTGATTTTTGGAAGTAGATTATCAGACATTCTTCCTAGTATGTGTAGGTTTAGAAACTCCACTAAAACTTGTTCAGCGTCATGGCAACATGGAAGCCACCACTGACAAATGTGTGGAGACCATACACGAGATCCACTGGCCAGGAATCAGACTCAGGTCTCTCACACGGAAGGTGGAAATTCTACTACGGAATCACCAATTCCTTATGGTTCCACCATGCATGGGGTCTTCACGAATCGTGAGCTACTTGGTGGCAGCTAGCAACAGCAACAACAGTGAAGGACAGGGCAGTGTGTTAATAGCTGCTGCAAACCGGGGTGGGCCTGAGCAGCATTCCAGGGGGAGAGACAGATGCAGTAAAGTAGATTGATAGGGGAGTCACCACGCCACTGTGGAATATGTCTTCAGACACAGCTGTCATGTAGATGACGGCTCAGAGGATCCAGATGTGGGCTATTAGTAGAAATGCTTCCACAATTGTACTCAGAGACTGGTGAAACCTAAATATATATATATTTATAAGACCATTTCTCATGACTAGATACAGAAGTTGGGGAGTCGGCAGATTAAGTGTGGCTTCCTGCCTTTTGCTCATAGATCTCTGTACAAAGTGCAAATTGTGGTTGTTAAGTGCTGTTGAGTCAGTTCAGAACTATAGCAACCCTGTTTAGGGTTTCTGAGGAGCAGCTGGTGAGCTCAAACTGCCAACCTTGTGATTCAAACCGACTTTGCAGTCCAGTGCATTAACTCACAGTGCCACACCAGTTTTCTCTGTGATTATGTGCTTGGAGGAGCCATCAAGAACTACCCAGGATACGAACTGGGACGTCAACTGTTTTACAGGAGAACACCAAACATATGAAATATGTAATATGGACATTACCTTAATCACACCATTGCTTCTTGTAGGCTCTGACCAATGGAGTAACAATGCATGGCCATTCTCTTTTTGTTCTGCTGTGAAGTTGTTCAATCCACTTGGGGACGATTCTAAGGTTTGAACCACAGTCCAGGGGCTTGAAACTTCTCCTGCCTTGTTTGCAGCCGCCACACCAATATGATATGTTGTGAATGGTTCTAACCTGAACAGGTGTGCTTGATAGCTTGTTCCCTGTAAGAAAGTTGACAGGTTAACTTTCTTTTAGAAGTTGCCAATAGTTGGTGAAAGGTCAGTCTCTGAACTGCATGCTAAAGGATATCAGCAATAGCAGCACAAACACTACACCAGTTTTTGAGTTATCATTAAGAGGACGTTGTTCTGGTTGACATTCTGAATATATTACTCAACACTGATTTAAGACTCAGAGAGTATGGCTGGATAGGATCCTTGCCATTTCAGAGATTGCAACCCAAAGGATAGGAGAAAGAAAGAAAGAAAGAAAGAGAAAGAAAGAAAGAAAGAAAGAAAGAAAGAAAGAAAGAAAGAAAGAAA